ACTGTCCCATTAAGAAATATTTGAACGTGAGATACTAGTAACAATGTTTCATATGAACAATACGAGTATGACCATTACAATTACAGATTTTCTTCTTTCATCTTTGTATTCAGAGAATATTTTAATTTTCTTTGACTACAGACATAAACATATCATTGTAGTGTGACTTCATGCAAATTCACTATAAACTAATATTACTGTTTTCTTTAAATTGAGATTATTGTGTTACATGTCACGCAAAGTACATGAATTTATCATGTAATTAAAATGTTAAAGAGATAATATTAATATCAATCTGATTTAAAATAATCAAGTAATAATATTGAAACATTCACTTTCATCAGTTACACCATATTAGTCTAGCGACAAATACTTAATATCTATGACATGCCGACTTGGCACGACTTCATCTGAACTTGATGTATTGTTCTTTACAAACACCGATAAGAAAGTTGTACAGGTGACGTCCACGCGGACACTCTGATTACACACCAAATCTTCCAAAGTTTAACTTTATGATGCAAATCTTATTCGTTACAGTAAAAAAGAGTATTAATAATTCGAACCTACTCATAAGAAAAAAGAGCTAATTATGGTGAAGAAAAGCAATCACAAACGACATGGCAAGATTGTCTGACAAGCTATTAGTTTTAAGGCATTGTTATACACCTACACTACAATCTCACGTCAGTCATATCTGAAATCTTGTAGCCTATTACGTTATACCATAAATATACATATCAAGTCATAGACGGCCTGATATCCGGAGAGAGACAGGGGTAACGACAATATTCCTCAACATTTGAATGTGGGCTGAAATAAGAAAATTGTTACCGTGGCATGTCTCTTACTTCATGACGTTGCTCGTGCTTATCCAATCACAGACAAAATTAAACGAGAAACTGAACTGAAAAGCATATGATTCACGATTTTCATATTTTAAAAACAAATTTTAATTCGTAAATTCAATTCGAAACGTAACACCTGGCAGAGTATCAGACAACTCACATTTTCCTATCTACAACAATAATTGATCTGTCATTTCAAAAATCTGTATCGTTCATGATTCTAAAGTCTGTAAAAACAAAGTATATTTCGTCAATTCATTGAGAAATATAAAATGTGGAGAATATTTATCAATAAATCCTAGCTTGTTATTATAACGCTACTCGCGACAATAATTGAACTCTGTATACTCTGTAATAAGAAGTGAGTAATATTATTAGAGATATATGACGTGTCTTGTTTCATCTTTAATATCACCGACTATACTGCACTTAAATTATATTATCTTCTATCAACAGTGTAGGCGAGGAGTTTTACACAACAAACAATAATTTACCAAAGCTATCAAAACAATGGACTGGACCCAAAAGTCAGGTTTGTTTTCAAGAGGCGATATGTCAAATTATAGGTCAGATCTATTTGAACCAATTCTATTAGGGGAAATTTGTTACTGGATATTGACTATATTTCATTTCAATTCGAACTGTTTTGCATGTTTCAGGTTCCCATTTTCAACATACATATGTACTCTGGTCGAATAGGTCGTATATTTGAAAACCTCTGAGAACGACTTGAAGATGGGAATTTTCCGGGACATAAAACTCTATGCTATTATATTTCAAACTCAATAAATTCTTTGTACTCAGATCCAAGAAATAATGTCTATTAATTGGGTAGTATTATATATCGTTTGATCTATTATTGATGTATAATTTGTCTGAAGATCACACAGCTTGAAACGCCTAGTAACAGCATGTTACAAGTTACATTTATATACATAATAATTCTATAATTGATGTATTGAGCACTATTTTAACAGTGGTATTTCTATATCGCTCTATAATTGATGTATTGAGCATTATTTTAACAGTGGTATTTCTATATCTCTCTACAATTGATGTATTGAGCATTATTTTAACAGTGGTATTTCTATATCTCTCTATAATTGATGTATTGAGCACTATGTTAACAGTGGTATTTCTATATTGCTCTATAATTGATGTATTGAGCATTATTTTAACAGTGGTATTTCTATATCGCTCTACAATTGATGTATTGAGCATTATTTTAACAGTGGTATTTCTATATCGCTCTACAATTGATGTATTGAGCATTATTTTAACAGTGGTATTTCTATATCGCTCTATAATTGATGTATTGAGCATTATTTTAACAGTGGTATTTCTATATCGCTCTATAATTGATGTATTGAGCATTATTTTAACAGTGGTATTTCTATATCGCTCTATAATTGATGTATTGAGCATTATTTTAACAGTGGTATTTCTATATCGCTCTATAATTGATGTATTGAGCATTATTTTAACAGTGGTATTTCTATATCTCTCTACAATTGATGTATTGAGCACTATTTTAACAGTGGTATTTCTATATCACTCTACAATAGATGTATTGAGCACTATGTTAACAGTAGTATTTCTATATCATTTTACAATTGATGTATTGAGCACTATTTTAACAGTGGTATTTCTATATCTCTCTACAATTGATGTATTGAGCACTATTTTATCAGTGGTATTTCTATATCTCTCTACAATTGATGTATTGAACACTATTTTAACAATGGTATTTATATATCACTCTACAATTGATGTATTGAGCACTATGTTAACAGTAGTATTTCTATATCATTTTACAATTGATGTATTGAGCACTATTTTAACAGTGGTATTTCTATATCGCCCTACAATTGATGTATTGAGCACTATTTTAACAGTGGTATTTCTATATCGCCCTACAATTGATGTATTGAGCACTATTTTAACAGTGGTATTTCTATATCGCCCTACAATTGATGTATTGAGCACTATTTTAACAGTGGTATTTCTATATCGCCCTACAATTGATGTATTGAGCACTATTTTAACAGTGGTATTTCTATATCGCCCTACAATTGATGTATTGAACACTATTTTAACAGTGGTATTTCTATATCGCCCTACAATTGATGTATTGAGCACTATTTTAACAGTGGTATTTCTATATCGCCCTACAATTGATGTATTGAGAACTATTTTAACAGTGGTATTTCTATATCGCCCTACAATTGATGTATTGAGCACTATTTTAACAGTGGTATTTCTATATCGCCCTACAATTGATGTATTGAACACTATTTTAACAGTGGTATTTCTATATCGCCCTACAATTGATGTATTGAGCACTATTTTAACAGTGGTATTTCTATATCGCCCTACAATTGATGTATTGAGCACTATTTTAACAGTGGTATTTCTATATTGCTCTATAATTGATGTATTGAGTACTATTTTAACAGTGGTATTTCTATATGGCTCTATAATTGATGTATTGAGCACTATTTCAACAGTGGTATTTCTATATGGCTCTACTATTAGTGTATTGAGTACTATTTTAACAGTGGTATTTCTATATCACTCTATAATTGATATATTGAGAACTATTTTAACAGTGGTATTTCTATATCACTCTATAATTGATGTATTGAGCACTATTTTAACAGTGGTATTTCTATATCACTCTATAATTGATATATTGAGTACTATTTTAACAGTGGTATTTCTATATCACTCTACAATTGATGTATTGAGTACTATTTTAACAGTGGTATTTCTATATCACTCTATAATTGATATATTGAGAACTATTTTAACAGTGGTATTTCTATATCACTCTATAATTGATGTATTGAGTACTATTTTAACAGTGGTATTTCTATATCACTCTACAATTAGTGTATTGAGTACTATTTTAACAGTGGTATTTCTATATCACTCTATAATTGATATATTGAGAACTATTTTAACAGTGGTATTTCTATATCACTCTATAATTGATATATTGAGTACTATTTTAACAGTGGTATTTCAATATCACTCTACAATTGATGTATTGAGTACTATTTTAACAGTGGTATTTCTATATCTCTCTACAATTGATATATTGAGAACTATTTTAACAGTGGTATTTCTATATCACTCTACAATTAATGTATTGAGCACTTTTTTAACAGTGGTATTTCTATATCTCTCTACAATTGATATATTGAGAACTATTTTAACAGTGGTATTTCTATATCGCTCTATAATTGATATATTGAGAACTATTTTAACAGTGGTATTTCTATATCGCTCTACAATTGATGTATTGAGCACTATTAAGTAAACAGTAAAACATCGTTTATTTTGACAACATATAGTTTTATTGTAAACATTTATGCCATGTTCCTTTCAATAACGGTGTCCGGCGTTTATCAATCTGTTACCTGCTACAGTACGTATTTAGCGCAAACTCAATACCTTGTTTGTACCTTGACTCTTGACTCAAGATCAGGAATCTTCAAACTATTTCTTTCTATTACCTCTTACGTTATCCACCTTCCTCTTATAAATACTTAGCTTAGATTTTCGCTTAGACTTTCCCAGCAATCTTTATCATGTCGGTGAATATAGCTTCCTGGAATAGAACGACCTACATAACTATTATCAAAATAATAAAAATTACCCCCAGGTGGAAAACTCCCTCTCTATAAAATAATGGCCATTACTTACTTAATATTTCAGTGTGTCCTATGTTGACGTCCACCAATGTGGCACCACGACTAGTATCTGGTGATGCTGTGAAGGAATTGAGACTCTCAACCTATAACCGTACCCCAGGGACAGTAGTTAACCTCGGATGTTATAACAACTACACTCTAGTTGGTACAGATCAGATAACATGTTCACAAGCTGGAGAATGGAGCTACTATACCAAACCATACTGTTCATGTAAGTTGAAGCTATGATATAAACCCGTGATGATTTTGTAACATTTGTGGCGGCGGGGTTGAGGTTCAAGTCAAGATGTGCATCATGTAGTGGTGCTAGTATAACTGCACGTTTTAAGGTTTTTTATGTTAGCCCCATGTTAGTCTAATCTGGCGCTTGGTTGGAACACTGACTTTTATTGGCATTGGAATAGCGAGTTGGATTAAGTGCCGTGGGTCGAATCCTCGTCAAGGTAAGAAAAATGCTGATGCTTGTGTCTGTGCTTCCGAGAGTCGGCCCGGTGTTAGTGCCGTTCACCCCATAATACATAGCTTACAATGAGAGAATAGATCACATTGTCTTGCTGTGATGCGAGAAGGTAGGCGTTCCTGCTTCCACAGGAAATAGATGTTACATCAGTGTCACAAGTTTCCATTAATATCTGCACACGTAAATAACCAAACAGCATCAAGGAAAATAAAGCTGACATCTCCGCTGTCGGGGTCGACTGATCGGATAATTAAATCTATGATATTAAGTACAGTACATACAGGTTACAAGTCATACAACTATATATCTTTCTTTGTACTTTTACTACGACAATATCAAACGCATTTCAACTGAATGATTAGTTTCTAATTTAGCCAAGCGACACCATCAGTTCTTTCAAGTGATGAAGTCTTTGTTTTTGATTGAATTCTGCTGTAAACAGACGAGGGTTATGGATTTTTGCAAAAATTCAAAGCCCGCCGGTTAACACAGTAACGAATTTAAATTTGATGAAAAACATTTTAGTGAATAACTGCATGATTTGAAGTAAATAATCCAATTGTTGGTGAAGACAGATATTGCCTAACATTGGTTAACACATGGTTTTACTAAACATTATCTCACTGTACCTTACTCATCAGGTCGGACCAATCTATCAAAACCACCGTTTGCTTCTGCGTGTAGTAAAACTGGCTTTTTCGATTACACAGTTTCTATAAGATATAGTTCAGCCTTCTTGTAATAAGTCAAATGATGTTATGAAACAAAAATGAGGTTTTTACAACAATTTACATTCGACAATGGGCCGAATGGAAAAACATGAAACATAATAATAAACATGGAATAAAAATAATGTGTTTCTAAAATCAAATTGAGATATTCTGTAAATATCAAACTGCTGTCCTTTATCGTCAAGGGGAAGCACTAGTTAGAAAGTTTCTCTTTATTTCAGCACCACAAGGTAATCAATTATCGGAGCTGCATAAACTACTGTTGGGGGTGGGAGTCGGTGCCGCCGTGTTGTTTGTGTTTGTATTAATTGGTATTATAGGGGCTTTAATCTACAGATCCAAACAGAGGAGAAAACGTGCTAGAAGGTAATTTCTCACTATATACTCACTGGCCATTAAGCTATAATAGCGATACCTTAAAGACTTGGTGGAAATATTCTCCCCTTTTCGTATATTAATAATGTATAAACAAAAGTGTAAAATGTTTCAAAACCTAGTCATGATACCTGTTCAACCGCTGCCGTTGATCAAATACTGTTATAAACATATGAGCATTGTACCACCCTATCTAAATTCTGTTAAATCTTGGGATACAATTTGGAAAGTAAAGATCTAACAAAAGGTTAAGACAGTTTAGTCTATACTCCTGCTTGTTTGACCTTTTTCCTTCAACTATCCTGCAAGAGAAATCAGCATGTATAGCTTTGAGGGATTCAAGAAGTTGATTAAGCTCTTGTACTTGCGCCGGGAATACTTGAAGCATTTACTTTCACGTATCTTAATTCCTGTACAATAAGACGTAACTCCTATTTGATTTAAATCTGTGAGTCTTCTCGATATGACAATGATTTGAAAACTTCTTGTGAATCCTTTTCATGCATGACGCGAGTGAATCGTCCATTCTTGCAGCCTTATCCTTGCTTGTTATATAATCCAATTCTCCAAAAATGTCCCCTTTATCTTTCTAGATTTCGACACCCTTCAACCGTTACCCTTGCTTATTCTGATTTTGATGGCTATCGTCCATTTGGGTAAGGTTTTGCCCCTTTTTCTTATTTGGGTAAGGTTTTGCCCCTTTTTCTTATTTGGGTAAGGTTTTGCATCATGCTAGCGAAAACTTTGTTGACTGCTTCCTCTTATTACCCCTCAGAATTCATATCATATATTGTATAACCGTTTCAGAGTTTTAAACTCGCATTTTAAAGAATATTCAGCACAATATTTGATTCTCCTTAAAATGAATTATGATCTTTTTATGTCCATCTGTAATACTCAATGATCACCAAGTAAGTACGTTATCCAAGTTGTACCAATAAAAATCATTTTTAAGGAACTGTAATCTCTAATCTTGTTGACTGTAAACCTGTAAACTTGTAAACTTGATATCACGGTGCCGTTTGTATGAGAGTTAATAGAGTGGTTGAGTTTGACGCGCGTCAACGATGTGATGAAGGGGAAGTGATTGATGTTCTCTTCCATTGTAACTAACTATGCCTGGTTTTGGTTTCAGAATCATATCACCCTTTTCCTACGACGACCGCGAGTTTTTCCCAGACGGAAGTGTCAAGCCGGTAGAGAAGGTAAAGCCGAGTCAACTAGTTCCACGGAGTGCATTAACATCCAGTCGTACTAGTCAGAATACATCTCGACCTACAAGTCCTAAAGTTACTATCAATGGTCCATTACCAGAGTTTAGAAGTAGATCGCGATCTGTTGATGGGGTGGTGATGGCAGTGCCAGTCCAGCCCGACCCCAGGGAGCTAGAACGATTATATTCTACAACTTTACCCAATAAACTAAAAAGACCCAGGTATGTTGTTATTATTCAGATTTTTTTTTTGATAATCATTCTTCGAAGAGACCAAATTTTTTGCTCCAGATTGGACCTCAGATTATAACCTATCTTTGCATGTCGGACTCTACGACCTGCATCACCTGACAAAACTGGGTTGTCCATCTGAAGGTATCAAAGTCTAAAACGTGTTATATTTATTATATTTCTAGCTATTCTGGAGAGTGGAAAGACAGGCAGGAATATAAAAGAATGGATTATTTTAACAGGTTCGTCAACTTATTCTCGAAACATCCAGTAACACATATACCAAACACTTTTTACCATGTGGGCTCTCTGGAATTCATCCTAATTATTCTAATTAAATAAACCTCAGTCAAGTATATCAGTTGTAGTGGCATTGACCTTTTGGAAGTTTAATGAATGAAAGTGTATAAACCAAAATTTTGTTTTTGACGCCATATGTGTTTCTATTTCTGTTTCAGACATGCCCTTGCTGAAGGTCATGATCCGTTTCTATGGCGACCAGGGTGAGTATTATTATTAATATTTGGTAGATTATAGATGCATATGATAGTGCTGCACTGAGAATTTCGGGATCAAGAAATGTCAGTCTGTGTATGACGTATACCAAGTATGAAACTTTACAGTTGTTATCGATGTCGTGATGATTTCAACTCCTACCAGAACAACCGAAATAGACTAGCTATGTTCCAAAGTATGGTGTCAAATAACCTACTGGACGAAATTTACCACTCGACCTTTCCATCTTATTTTAAAGCATTTAAGAGAGTTTTCTCCTTTTCAATAGAATTGATAAGAAGTACTTCTATTTCAGATCGACCAGGTGGATATTCGAGAGAAAGGAAAGAGTGTAAGAGTGTTTGTAGAGTTACATGCGATCATACCTTCCATACCTTCCATCACAATTCACAGCGACAGTTTTTTTTCTGAGTATGTCTATTCAGTAGTCGAGAAAAAGATTTTATAAGTCATTAGACAAAGTGTCATATCTGTGACAGAATTGATTTCAATTCTACCTATCGAAGATGAGATCGCTGTCTCTAGGAAGCAGTGATGGTGTAATAAATAGTATGATTTTGTCTTGTTGCATTCAAAATAATATTACTAACCATAAACAGTTTACCTTAGATATGTACACTAAGAATCGCCACAAAGATAAATCTTACTCTACGACAATTGTTAAGTATCTTAATTGAGAGTCTTTGTCTTTGGCTATAGGTTTAATTAAAGGAAATTACATTTAAAACCGTGCGATGTTTGGGTATGCAAATCTCTTCTGTATACTCATACAGTTACAGTCATTGCAATGTTTTATATTGAATTATTTACTGTCACACGTATATATTGAATTATTTACTGTCACACGTATATATTGAATTATTTACTGTCACACGTATATATTGAATTATATATCATCTAAAAAGCTGTTCATACTTATTATTTAAATCTTAATTTTTAATTATATTATCTGTAAATGGAGTAAATTATTTCGTTTATCGTTCTATAATTTTTGTTTGTGTAATGTGATGTCTTGAGCTGAATAAGTTGCAGATCAGCGTTTTTTGACAAAAAATATTCTTACAGTTCGAACCTTACAGTTCGTCATCTGCCATCAACGCCACGCCTTGACATAAGCCTGCCACACCCGCGCATCTCGACAATTGAGCAATGAAAAAAACAACCACTGCTCTGAGAATCTAATAGCGAAAACTCGAGCGCTAAACAGAAAAGCTAAGAAAGAAGCCGACACAACAATCTATTTCTAACAATCTCGTCTAAATGTGTCACACAATTATAAACCAATTGATAGAATAAGTATAGCACTTGTACTCAGATTGACATTTAATACAGTTGTAGAATTAACAAAAACTCTCAGATATAAATACAGGAAGTCCAAGAAAATCAATAATCAAGAACAAAAATTCCAGTTAAAAATACAAATAACTAGTTCAATATTTAATTTTGGAATTGGAAGTAAAAAAATGAAATTGTCATTAAGTGTTTGTTGTCAACTGTAAGGTTTCTTCATCGCCTGCTACTACTTGGGTCAACATTTCAGTGTTCGGCAGCAGTTCATGAGCTTCTTCTAAATGGTCTTCTTTTATAGTTCCATTCACGTTCCCGTTGACAATATTGAGGATATCTTCTCGCTCTGTTGTATTTGACGATTCTCGCTTTAAAATCTTAAAAGTCCGTCCAAGACTTCCTAGACTAGTTCGCGTACCGCTGTTACTGCTGGACACTGGTCGTGCTCTCTGTCTCTGTCGCTTGTGGCACCGGAACCACACAATGCCTAGAGCCGTTATCAAATCGATTTTGGGAACATCACAAAAAAATCTAGTTAATACCTCACGACGAAAGTTTTCATTCAGCCAGCAGTAGACGAAGGGATGGTAACACGTACTACTGACAGCAATCCAGTGACAGATGAAGAACACACGACTGTTATAGTGGAACACCTCTGCGTCCGGATGGAAGTCAGTTAGTATATGATACAGATTGATTGGTAGCCAGCACAGAGCGAACACTATTACCACAGCGATTAACAGCTTTATACTCTTACGTTTCGATCTGGCTTGCGACATCTGTTGATACTCCGTCACTGCACCGACATGCGTTCGCAACCATAGTTTATGAACGATGCGACCATATGCAATACCTATAATCGTCAACGGAATAAAATATTGTAAAAATAAGGTAACCACTGATAAATATTGTTCAAAAACATCGGAGGGAAAGCGTGAATGACATCGTTTTACGGTGGCGACGAAGTAAGTAACTTCTTCTACTGTGTTATAAATGCCGTAAGGTAATGCCAGGCTAATAGCAAACAGCCAAATTGTGAGTAGGATGAATAGAGAGGAAGTTTTAGACATTTTAGAATTAAAAGGCTCCACAATAACTCGATGTCGATCCAAAGCAATTACCGTTAATGTATAAGTAGAAACATAGACGGAGACAATTAAAGAAAAATTCACTAAATGGCACAAAATGTCTCCGAATGGCCATTCCGTTAATAAATTTCGTGCTATGTTAAAAGGTATATTAATACACGTAATCAGTAGATCGGAAACGGCTAAATTAGCGAGGAAAAAATTAGTGGGCGTATATAATCTCTTGTTTTTACAAATAACATAACACACTAGAGAGTTACCGAATATAGATATCACCGCTAGGATGCTATAGGCTAATATTAATACAGCTTTTTCCGTTGACGTATGACTCTGATGCAACTCCGACTGAAACGTAAACGTCTTATTAGTCTGATTATCCATAAATATTCCGACATAGTCTGTATTGGTGATGTTATTACTTGAGCCGAATAAAATCTCGTTTAAAAACTCCATCGACACCATGGTTATTCACATCTATTTTTAGTTATTTGATTTATAACAATAGTTTTGAAAGCACGCTGTGTGTTTAGATCACGCGTGGATATTTGTCTTTCATATGGGAATTATATCTTATAATATTTCAGGAACGCTGGCGACAAGAAAATTTATCGTTAGTGTTTTTATCTAACTATTATTGTAGTTCAAAACAACGTTATAAATATATCTTTAAAACAAAACATATTTATATCAGGAATGTTTTGCACCTATTAGTCCTGCAAACTTGTTTCAATTTCAATTACTCCTAGCAATTTATGTTGTGTCATTTTGCAACTTGCTATTTGTCTTGTAAATGTCACATTCTATCTGTTAACAACTGAGTTTAAATTAACCAAATCAGATATCAATTCGTTCTTGTAACACCTTAAATTATAACATTTCTAGTCCAAAGATTGGTTTAGTTCTACAAACAGACCAAAATCTCCCGATTCAGATTGTCACACCTCCCTTGAAAACTTGTACCATAAGTACCGTCCAATTAGAGATCAACTAGTCAACTTAGAATAGAGTTGACCACGAAGCAAATCTCAGCATTTTGACTAGCACTATCTAGCAACGACATTACAACTTTCCAAATTTTGTTTACCAGAACAACGTTTTATTTCCTGCAACGCACAACATAGACACAGAATTCTTAACAGACATCTATTATAATTGTCGATATAGTATATAATTATAATCTCAATAATTCTAGCAAAACACAGAAAGCGAATTTTAATACTGGCAAAGATAAAGATAAAAGTTCACTGTCGATATCTGAATGATGTACTACACAATATGGGGCAGTCAACAAGAGTCGATAGTTGTTCTGGCCCTAACTATGATATTCCGAATAACATCAAATATGGATAATAACATCGTTCTCAATGGTGTCCTTTACGTTTAAGTTCACTCTGCGATTCCACACCTTTTAAACCAACGAAACCTAAGACACAAACTGAAGTTGAAAGATTGCACTTTTCTCGGTGACCTTTTTCCCAGCACATCTGATTGCATTATCCTTATTATTCAGTACCTCTAGAATATAATTTAGTCCTCGTGTTTCTCTGAAGATTATAGGCCACTCCAGTACACTTAACTTGCTTACTGGTAACAACATACGTTTAATTTCATAATGATTCTAAAACTCAGTAATTTGGTTTTTTAACCCCCTAATTTACACCAAACTGTCTCTGTTTACACACCATTAGTAGCATCTAGAAAATAATCAACTATTTTCTTTTTCGTTCAGAATCTTGAACTCTGTAGTAGTATATTACGTAGTAGAAATTGTAAGCTGTCCGAGTATTGAAGTAGGCGAATACCATAGTGAAAGAGGCGGTGTCAGCTTTGTGATGGAAGACTTCATAGGTTACCTACAACAATATAGAAATTAATAAATATATTAAGACTGAACCAACTTTAATGAATCGTCTCTTTAACTCACCTAAAATAACTCTATAATAATATTATATATTCATTTTAGAAAGTCAGTAAGATTAATAAGTTGTTTTATTGAAATGCCATAATTGAATAATGGAATCGCTAAGCCGTTATGCTTCTCAAGAATGTCATTATGATGCCGTAACCGTAACTGGTTAGAACTACATATTTCTATCGTGGTTCACTCAACTGATATCAGAAGAGCGTTTTATATAGAGTTATGTCATGAAACCACGACAAACAACCTCTTTCTATTATTACCCCTTTCAGGATCCTTGATTGATTGCGTTATCCCCCAACCCCCAATCCCCCAACCCCCCCCCCCCCCCCAAAAAAATTCTAAAACACCCTTTTTTCTTGTAATTACCAACCTGTTGAAAACCCCTGGCCTAACTGATTATAGAGCCGACGTCAAGAAATATTGTAATATGATTATAAATAAAGCTTAAATTTTAATTAATTTAAGTAGCCAACCTATCGGATCCATGGAACACTAAGCTCCTGCAGATTAATCGGGTCTTTTCAGGATTATTCGGTAGATCAGCAAAATCCTTCGAATGATCAGATTCAGAAATATCGTAAGATGAAAGCAGACTCTGAAAATTCAATTTTTCCAGATTCTATCAACACGTGAGGATTTGCTGTTGCAGCACCAGACTACACCACTGGGATTGACTGGTATTCTGGATTGGGTTACTAATAAAACCTCTTACAAGGATTTCAGAACAAAAAATGAATAAAAAAAGGGAAATTTAGTTGCTCGAATACTAATCAATGAGGCGAAAATGTCCATCATTTAGGTTTAGGTTTTTACCTAAACTACCTGGTGGGCAATGATACAACACGTTGATTCATGGCAACCTGTTTGATGCGATGGTCAGTAGATATTGTAATATAATAACAAGGATACAAACCATAACACTGTGGAGCAGAGAATGCAGCGACTAATTTCAAGTCTGTATTGAAAGTTTTATGGTCGACATCACCAATTAATTGACAACCATGTTAATAAGTGTCTTTCATCTCATCATTCAAGAATTGCGTATCTACTCAGATGTTTAAAATCTTGAAGATAATTTGATGTATTTTGGAATATCAGTCTAAAATTATTCTAACTTGACGGTGAAGACATTGTAAACATTTTAACTAATTTCATATTTTTTAAATATTATACGAAATTTCAGACAATTACTCACCAGTTTGAGTCAATTTATCTCAGGCATCTCATCTCATCTTATCTAAACACAATTTCAATAAGGTTGAGAAACACATTACTTTATGCTTAATCCTAATCCTTTTCATATTTATATGAATAAAATATTGATTCAAAATATTTTTTACCTTTTCAGGTAGTTAAAACATTTGAGGGAAAATTTCTATAAATCCGAAGGTCTGCATGAGACCAACTATAACATTTTTACCTATTGATTAAACATTTGACTGAAATTCGGACACAACTGAAATACAATATTGAAAAAACGTACAATATAATCCTTACCTTAATCCTTTTGAAACACACCAGGCTATTGTACAAGACGAACAATCTTTTAAGCACTAATGTTGGGCAAAAGCACAAGAACTCCTTACCGTTGAAACCATTTGTCAGAATTCCCAAAACAATGGTGACAAGAACACATTACCTTTGGTTAGAAACATTTAACAAATATTCAATAATACGTGTACTGCCAAACAACAAACGAATCTTAGACAATGAAGAACTCCTTACCTTTAAACCATTTGTCAGAATGCCCATAATAATGGTGACCTTTAACAGACACATCTGAACCAGTACTCGAGAAAAAACGCACCGGGAACTCCTTACATTAACTTATAAACATTTGACAGACATCGAGACAAAACGTAACTCAGTTTCATGTGCTTTATTACATTTTGTAATGGATCAGCCGCCTTGTCAAGCTTCCCCGATGTCTTGTATAGGACAATAGAAGACTGCGACATGACACCTCTATGTTCGTCCATCGTTAGCCAGTCAAATTAATCGGAATAGAAATCATTGAATTGTGTTAATTGATTTGAATCGGCTGATGTGAGCTGCCTTATTTGTCAGGATTCTAAGAGATGTGTGACACACAAATACAGCAACATACAAGATATTTATAACTGGAGAAATTCAAAGACAAATGAGTTGATGTGGTACTTTTTTTTGAACCTATGAAGAAACATCTAAATGACCTAAATAATGTCGATGGTGGTTTTTATTTGTAAGTATATTAAATCCATAATGTTGGTCATTTATCACAAGTGTGGGCAAACCAGCTGTTGAAACAGTTCAACATTACTATTTACTCTAAAGTTTCGAATACAAATCCGTACAAGCAAGATAATTCCGTCAATAAAAATCTCGTCCGAAGTAGGGTAGAATCGAGAGTATAAGTTTCTACAGTAGTGGACTCCTCCAAAGAGAAGTACCATCATGTGTTTTGAAAAGAGTAAGTATGGTCCAGCCACTACTATACAGGTCAACATCATGAGATACAATCAGATCAATACGCCTGACCAAACAAATCAGACAACATGTACGAAACAAATTGGTAATATTTACTCTGAAGTTATGCCTGATACTAATGTTACGAAAGTAGGTAGATATTATTATTTTCAATTTAGTTCCCTCGTCAATATTATCATTATTCTCACAGTGTTGACAATCTCTTCAACTGGTTGGTCAGTCACTAAAACTTATTATTAGATGTAGTTTTTAAACCAATTACTTTACAGTATTTCTTAATTTCTTGAAATTATCGAGTCAAATTTTTTGCTAACAGCACCACTTTGTTATGATATGAAGACGAATCATACCAACCGTCTGAGAAGAGACAGAAGACTTCCAAAGCCTATTGTGTACCGACATCACGATTTGTCACACGACCAAACATACTTCAATTCTCATTCTTCAATTAATTTTTAATTTAACAATTTGTTCTGTTAATTAGTTTAACTTTCTCAGAAACTTGGTCAAGATAGATTAATTTGTACTTTAGACAAACACAGATCTTCTTCAGAGGGTTTGTTATTTAATTTGAAATCATTTCATTCCACAATCCAGACTTTTTGATGAACGCACCTGATCAACTCATCCGAAATTACCAGCTTTATATGAAGATATCAGTTTCTCTGGAACTCGTCCGACAGTTCTATAGTTAAAATATGATAAAACACTATTATGGATATACTACTACTTTCTTTAATTATTGCAAAGTTTCATTTCACATTCACATTCACAAAACAATAATGATAGAAACCAGAAGAACAAGCGTTTACACATACATGACAGTTATTTAGGTATGGTTCAACAGAGATAGTTATACACCATCCCGACTGTTATTTAGGTATGGTTCAACAGAGATAGTTATACACCATCCCGACAGTTATTTAGGTATGGTTTAACAGAGATA